CACTCACTCACTCACTCACTCACTCACTCACTCACTCACTCACTCACCACCATCGCCACCGTCACCACGATCCCCACCTCCACCATCACCTCTCTGGACCCCCATGCGTCTAGATCTCTAGACTTTCTGCTTATAGACCTCAAACACACTGATTCGCTTCCTTTGGTGCTCACGGGTGCGGCTCTCTCACACTGACGCTCTCTCACTCTCGCCCTCACCCGCTCTCACCCATGCTCACTCTTCCTCGCACTCACACTTACACTCACTCACTCTCCAATCTCACTCACACACTCCCTCTCACTCTCACCCTCACACTCATTTGATTGCGGTGATAAAAGTGTGTGTCATATACACTCCACACTGTTTGGGGTCTCTTGCCGGGATAATTTGATAGAGGATCCTGACTCCCTCAGTTTGTGTGGAACATGAGGGCTACAGCTACAGTTCTTCCAGTGGATTGTCTTGACTTATACAAATTATATACAGTATATAGTGGGTGCAATAAAATAGGGAGACCCCAAAAAACTACCTGACCAACACTGGGGATAGGCCTCTTGTTATGAAAATTATCTGTTCAACAGGTGAAGTTCCCTCTTTCCTGACATCTCACAAAGACTTGAGTCACCCCTACTTGTCTGATTGCTATCCATCCCAGCCTGCGTACAAAACTGGGCCTTTGCCACCCTCTCCGCCCCCCCCCCCCCAAAAAAAAAACGCAATCCAAAAAGATCCAAAAGAACATCACTCAACGAAAATCGCCAACCAGACCGCCAACCCGGCGTGGTTCTTCGCCCGGAAAAGAACCATAAAGCACCCTGCCACCCGCCACCGCCAGGCGAAGGCGCCAGAGAGAACTTGAAGTCGCCCTTCGCCTCGCCGGTCGCCTCGGGGGCCCAATCGAAGGCCGATCGATTGGACCGAAGGCCGAAGCGCTCGGTTCGAGGAGTGCGGGCCGAAGAGGTCGCTCCGGTGTCTTTAAATGAAGATGTACTGATGTGCTGCTCCAAATGGTTGGAGAATTCCAGAGTCCATTGAATCTGGAAGAGTTGGAAAGAGCAAATATGAGGAAATCATATAGCAACAGCGGAACAGAAACACACACAAGACAAAACAATACAATGACCTCAATCATCTCATACATTTCTTTTATGTGTATTTGTTGTAGTCTAATTCCTGTTAATGAACAAAATGCATTGCAAGAATAGTTGGGTAAAGTGATATAATATGATGGGTCTAATTCATAATAGTTCAAACACCTATCCCTAAACTTTTCAAAAACATCAGTCAGTAAATATACATCAGTCATCAAAAACAAATCATGCTATTCACCAAGGTTTTTAATGTTAACATGTTTCCATACAATATTTGCTCTGGTGTAGTCTTCGTCAGTTATGTTTTCTTCATAAAATTTGCTGTAAAAATGTTATTTCTTTGGCAGTTTTGCTTCATAAAATCTATCCCATGAGTTCATATGGTCGTATGGATATACACCCTTATCAGTCAGCAAATTCAAATCCGTTTTAGATTTGATATATGGGTTGGTGCTTGTATATCTGAAACGAGTTTCCCAATCTTTAATCTTTTGATTTCCTTCATATTTGCTTAATATATAACTAACTTATCCAATGAGTTAAGAAAGCGAAGCTGTCTTTAAACTGACAAGCACAACATGAAAAGGTTATGAACTTTTCACTGTTTTGTGCTATTACATCTATTCTTTTGTTTTGGTTTAGTTCTATGTTTAGTTCATTTGCTCTGGCCATGATCAAGTGTGCGTCATAGTGTTTTTTTTTAAGATTATGAACGAAGATAGGGATTTTAAAACATCTAAATGAAAAATCCAGATTATATTTTACATGCGCTGCGCCTCTGTATTTACCTGTGAAGTGGCAGTGGTCGCGGTCTTTCTCATCATCAGGTTGGAATTCCTTATTACATATGGAGCAGTGGGTCGCTTGTCTAAATTATGTCTTTTGTTCGTAAGTTAATTCATCCATGGGTTTATTTACATTCATGTTTTTCAAATATACAGTATCTTTCTTAATTTCAGTCAGTTTTTTCAACAAAATGCTTCATACAATCCTCACCTCTGTATAAGTATGGTTGGCATGTATTATCAATCCTGCTTACTACATTCAACATACAACCGAACGGTTTATGTTCCTGATATGTGCCTTTTGTACCATTGTTAGAGTTAGTGGTTAGACATTCAAAATCACCATAGATTACAAAGGACAAGGCAGTTTAGTATTATGCGTTTCAAATTCTATGTAAGTGTTTTTATCAGGCATCTTTGTTTGTTGTCCTTCTGATGCCATACATCCCTTTTCAAGATGGTTCTTATATGCCTTTTCTGATGAGAAAGGGTTTAAGCAATGATGGCAGTGTTTCTTGTTGATATTGTTTATTGCTTTGGCAGTTAAGTAATCTACTTGTGTTTTTCATTAATACATAGTGATAGTTAGTATCTTCATCATAGACTTTTAATACATCAATTTCATATTTAGCATTTCTATTTTTAGTGCATCTATGTATGATAATCTTATTATCATTAAGGCAGTCATCAGCTTCAAAAACATTTATTGAAACTAATTTGTTGTTTCTTCAAATCTGTCTATGTCCCTATTACCAGTTGGAAAATTTACACGATCCCAGTTCAAAATGTTATCATTCAATTTGTTATAGTGGAACATTTCCTCTGGGTGATGTTTGCTTATTTTGTCAAAGACTACGGATTGAATACAGTATTTGAAGCATTTTTGGTCTTTGTGTTTAATGTTGATACATGCCTTTTTTTAACTTAATCCATTCTGGTAATTCTATAAAACTGCCTGCTCTTGTTGGGTCAAATTTGTCATAGTGAATGGTGACAAATTTTATCTGTAAAACCTTAAATTAGAGGTTGATGCTTCAATATTTTGTATTTGTAGTAAGAATTGGAAACACTATCTTCTAATGCTTGTGTCAGTTCATCCTCATTATGAATTGGATAATATGTTGATGGTAAGCCATATACAAGTTCTTGACTACCAATGTCATTTCCTCCATCAGCATATTCAGGTGTTGCAAATAATCCTTATGATATTATGTTAAGTTTCATGCTTCTATTATTCTTTAAAAACTCTAACAGTATTTGCTTTTGGTGCGCAATCGTTTCTAAACCTCTTTCTCCTTCAAAGTGTTTATTTTCTAAAGCTATTGAATTAGCATATGCTCTAAATGCTGATTGAACATCTCTGATCCTAAATTTGTTTCTGATTGCGTGTTTGGTCAGTATTTGTCTTACTCTTCCTTCATTGAAAGCACCCTTTGCCTTGTTTAAAGTAGAACTTCTGTATTCATTAGTTTTCTGTACTGATAATAATTTATTTGTTAAAACATTTGATATGGGTTTGTTTTTGTTGTATCTGAATTTCTTTTCATCTATGATTATGGACTTTAATTCTTTTCTTCCTCTTTTTGGTATTTCTGTTTGGGAAGCCTATCGAGTGGTCAGCATTTTGTGCCACTTTGGCTCGGAGCCCACCAATGGACATTACCAATGCCTGTACATCAGTTCAGGAAGCTCCTGGCTCACAGATGACGATCGGGCTGCAACCTTGTGTCCAGTGATGGATCCCTTGAGAAGGGCCGCCTACCTCTTTTGGCTGGTTCCTCATGAAGAGTTGAGCTTGTGGTGGCGCCGACCGATTGAGCAGCACCGCCCATCCGAAGACCTGTCGGATTTGCTGGCTACGGCTTTTCCCTGATTTTGACGCCGATTGCTCGTGCGTGTGGCTTTGATGCTCACGAAGCACCCATGGCAAAACGCCATGCAGCCCAACACGGGCGTGACTCGACTCAGGCTGGAAGTGAATGAATGAATGAAATTACTCAACAGATAGTATATATTTTTATTCTTCATATAATATTATATATTTTATGTACATAATCTATCTTTAAGTAGTTTTAAAATAATACCTTATATTAATCTTAGAATATTTACTTAAAGATTAGTCAGTTAAGTATATTACTGGATGCATTGTATGAATTGTATCATATATTCATGGAGTTCATGGAGAACCTGAATATGTGAAAAAAAAACATAGTGAAGCATTGAAGAGCATACAAAACACATATAATATTTCAAGACTTGGTCCAAAAATGACAAGACATTTGAAATCAATAAAACATATATATAGTTATATATATACAAAATTGAATACTGTATTATGAGAGAGGGAGTGTCATTTAGTTTGAACAGTATAGAAGACATAATAACAGAAGAACAAGAAGAATTAATATCCTTGATTTATGAAGAAGTAGAAGCTGATTTAAATTATAGAGTTAACCTTGATATTGAAGCTCCATTGGTGGCAAAACTCCCAGAAAAGGAATATGTACAAAATGAATGTAGCTATAGATAGATTTACTTTATGAATGACTTTGATGAATATGTAGATGAAGATAATATAGATGAAGTATTACATAAAGCAGTTGAAGAAATAAATACCGCTATTGAAGGAGACCAAGATAAAGATAGTATAATAGGAATACAGTATAATAGGAATACAAGCCTTTTATTTTAAGTTAACAGTTATTGAATACATTTACTACTAACATATTTCTAATAAAATCTATTAGAATTATGGATTTGTAAGATAGGATTATTAAAGGTGAGGGGTTATGCTATATTGTTGTCTATTGTTTTGTGTCCTTTATGTTGTTCTTTGCTTGGCTAGTTTTATTGGTTGTTGTTTGGTTGTTTGTTTGGGTATAGAATGGATGAGGTGATGATGTATCGAGTGTTATGATTTCAATAAAAGGGATGAGGTAATACATGGTTAGTAGTTTATGATGTTTTAGGAATGAATGAGGTAATAGATGGTTAGTAGTGATGCTTTTGTGGAATGAATGAGATAGTTATGTATTCACTGTAATGATCTTGAAACGTGAATGAGGTACCAAATGGTTAGTAGTTATGATATTGAAAAATGAATGATGTTATATGTGGTAGTCTGTTGTGTTTTTTGTGAATCCTTTTTTTTTAGTTTTTGTACTGCTATAAATTGAGTTTTTGAAAACTTCTTGGAAGTAACGTGTTTAACATTTTGTTCCCCTATCCTCCAAGTTCGGCACCCCGTCTTGTGACTCCTGGTAACTCCATTTCACCGGTCTGGACCAAAGTGACTGTAGTCTAACGGTGAGAAGAAATTCCTGGGAGCCTCATTGGCAATCCACTACGGGGGGCACGTTTAAACACACATGGTTTTATATTGGCCGCTGATTGGTGCTGAGGTAATGTTCTATGTTCATGGCCCTATCCCCAATCATTGTCTCCTGCACAAAAAACATCGTCTCTTGACCAGTGTTATCCCCACCCACCGGTGTCACCGATACGCGCCCGCGCGCCCGCCTCCGGCGCGGCATCCGCCTCGGCGCCCGTGCCCGTGCGACCCGCTGGGTTCCCACCCGCCTTCGTGGGCAACACCCCAAAGACTCAGCTTGAAACAATATAAGGAAGACTCAGCTTGTTTCATCAAGGTTGCCGATGGAACATATTGGGAAAATCATGACCCAGACCCAAAATTCAGCTTGGATCTGGTGCAAGGTGGGGAAGGACAGAGAGCCCCACGTGTTTTCCGTTTTGGGAAGGACATGACATGACCCACCAAGATCTTCGTCCGTCTTCGTCAGGTCCCTTTTTGCACGGCCCTGCCGGTCTAGCTCCCTGCAAAACCCCTTTTGAAAAGCCGGTCCTTTTGGGTCTGGAGCTCTGGAGCTCTGGCAGGTGAGTCTGGAGTCGATTCTATTGATGCATCAAGTGAAGCAGATGAACCAAGGGTCAAATAGATTTGCCCATCTGAACTGGTGAACTCATCTTCAAATCTTCAAGGAAGAACACAATCCGGCCCTACAGCAGCATCCAGCGCCTTCCTGCCTTCAACAGCATCGTTGCCAATCACCAGGCTCAAACCAAGCAATCTGCCAGTCTTTGCAAAGTTGGGACATCCCACGTGGTTTTCCAAATGCCTCTCTCTATACCTCTTTGTTCTCTCCTCCACAGCAAGGCCTCTCTGATCACTTGATATCTCTTCAATATCGAACCGGACTTCAAACGGTTAAACTTGATGCTCCTCAATGCACTCATGGGTGCAAAAGATGTATGTGAGATCCTCGTGAATGCGCATCACTGCACCCTTGTTCGAGACTCTTTCCTCCGCATAGTTGGCACAACTGAAGACGGTCACCAGCTTTCCGTCAGCAAAGGTGTCATCATAACCAGATTCTTTCACCAGGTTTCCTTGCACCACCAGCTCCAACTGATGATCCTGAAATGGCAGCAGGTTGTGGCACCGGGATACCTCGAAGGTCAAGCCTACCTCGAAGGTCAAGCTACATGGTGTTGGGGCTCCAGGTTTTGACCCATCCCAAAAGCAGGAAATCACTTCACAGTGAAATCGAACCAACGTCTTGGCAATTGGTTCTGCAATTGGTGCTCAAATAAACCTATCTGAGCAGGCAAGCAAGTGACAACTGAACTTATTAACACGGGAGGGCCTGAAGGCCGGAGGGCAATAACTCTACACATACGGTGTATATCAAACAAACCATATCACACCACACCTCCAAGTACCTCCTCAGGTTCGGTATGACTGGACCCTCCTGGCACCCACCCCAGTCCCACCTTCTCAGGTTCGGTACAACTGGAGACCAAACGGGTATATACACCACACACCTTGACAAAGCTCAAACAAACAGGATCCTCCCTCCGTATCTCCATCCTCAAATAGTTGGACACTGCAAAGCCAAGGTGGTTGGGATCCACCACCGGGAAACCGATCCACCACGGGCGCATCAAACGTTGTTGGCCCTCCAAATACATTGGAAACATGGATACCAGCGGCAATTACAAGTAATTGCATGTATGTTAAATGGGTCGTGACGGTATATGACGGTCATGTGAGTCGTGTGTTAAACATGTTAGTACCGAAAAACAAGCTAAGCCGGGTCCAAGCAAAGACGGTCGTATGGGCGAAATGCGACGCCGACGATGCCTTCAAAAACTGCTTCACCACCTCGGGGCCGTAGCAGCAACCCTCCGAAGCCGCAAGGCATGGCAGCGGCAGCTCTTCGGGGAAGGACCACAACAAATCACAGACCTGGGGTGGTCTCCAGTTGAGTGGCTGGCTGGTGAAGCTAGTGGTTCTGGGGGTCAAACAGAAATCAAGAGTGAGGACCAGTGTGGAGTCCCTCCTTTGGAAGATCACTGGGCCAGAACTACAAGTCTCCCTGTAATCAAGGATTGCTTTGACTATATAGTGGGGCTCGTGTCAGCCTCAACCCCACGGCCAAAGTCAAAGAGCAACACATCAAAGTGCAAGGAACACACAAACAAAAGAAACAGAAAACAAGGTGTTATTTAGCTTGCAGGTCACTAGTTCATCCCCCTCTGCTGCAGTGGGTCTTGGTATTCGCCGCAGTTGCTCCAAACTGCAAGTTCTGGGCGACAAACCACCAGAGACGCAAAAGATGCGGCTCTTCACCAAGGCACAAAGAGGCAAGTGATCCAAGACCTCTGAGATCGCGCCCCGGGTATACCCAGGTTCTTGCGGTAAATCCAATGATGTAAGATGATAGTCAAACGAGCATGACATGTTCAGCAAAGAACATAGTATAGCTGTTTCCTCCAATTCCATGTTTTCACGGGATCTTCCCGTTTGATGGAGCTGAAAGGTGCAACGAAGTTTCCGCATTCTAAAGGTGGTCTTTTCAGGGCCAGCGTGAACCACACCAAAAGGATTGATCTGGTCTGGAGAGGGTCTTCTTCAGTTCCACCGGCTCCTTTGTTTAGGGGACAACAACCGCTGCTGAGAAAACTCAACTGTAACTGCGTCCCTAGGAACCTAAAGATCGCGATGCGGGAGGTTTTCAAAAAGAACTACAGAATGGATATACCCACCTCGACCATCCTGTCTGCGTGTCCTGTCCACAAATCCCTAACTATTAATATAGTTAGTGTAGCCCAGCCGGGACACACAGGGCAGAATAGTCCAGGCAAAAAAAAGAAAACAGTGAATTGCTCTATATGTTCTACAAAACAAATTACATGTTGGCTGGGAGACCTCCATGAAGCTCTTCCAGATCTTCACATTATAGATCCTCTTGCATTCATCGTAGAAGCCCTTGGCCCTAGTGGCCTTTCGAGTCTCCTGCTGACCTCGAAGCAAATGAACGTGCTCGGGGAACTTGCACTTGTATGCCTCAGTTTCCAGCCAGGACCGGGGTAGTTCTCACGAAGCACGTCTTGGACAACATGGAATGACACAACCTAAAATTGAAAGATATGTATGTATTACCAACCTACAAAATGCATCAAAATGCTCAGTGCTCAAAATAGTTCAACATCACATCATTCACGCGAACTGGTGCCTTTCTCACCCAATACACCTGAAGATCCCCCCTTGTTTCAAGCTTCGGCCCGCGTGGACCGCAAAGGTTTCGCTCGCGTTCGGATGTCCGTTTCAAACACCGGGGAACCCGCGCTGCTGCGGTCCCGACCTTTTAGGTCATTTCACCAGAGGTTGAAAAACCCTATATAGACTATCCCATTACTACCCTAGCTATAGGGTCCCTTTGATGAGGTCACTTCACCTTCACCTCCTCCAATGACTCTGTGAATCGGTCGAGGTCGTTGGTGGGAAACACCTGTTCGAGGAACACGTGCTGCCGAAGTGCCAAGAGCATGATCAGCACCTCCGAGCTCTGTCGCCCTGCGACAGGGCGGAGCGCTTGCAGGAGAGCGAAAGGTCGGTCGCAGCGAAAGGTCCGGCACTGGCGAGCGTTTTTGGAGGGTTTCGGGTATCAACAATTTCCCAGACTTATGTGGAATAGATCTACATACTTGGACCGTCGACCCTTCAATGATCTTGAACTCATTCGACAAAAAAGCAAAACAAGTCCAGTCCCATGGATTGTTAGGGATAGCTGAGTAGCTCTATACCAGGACCCTCCAAGGGGTGGTTAATGGACACCCCTTTAACAGCTAAGGGGCTATAAATAAACACCCCTTGGAGGGTCCTGGTACATCTCTATACTTTTGGTCTGACGACCCATTTGACACCCCAAGTTCTGGACAGGCCCCTTGTATCCCAACACGCCACACGGGTGACGAACGCCACACGTTCTTTGTCGGTCGGACACACAACAGTGAGCCTTGCCTCTGTTCAAATAGTTTCCCAAAAAAAGGTAGGGTGTCTGTGAACTCGGCTCACCCAGTTGGGTGAAGATCGTATTCAGCTGATCCATGCGCCCCGCCAAATGCGCTGCCAGGGTCAAAGGAGGTTCCAAGTCCAGCACCGATGGCTCTTGACAAAGGATCTCCTAACACTGTCCAGGCTCACAGCGGCATACGGGAGACACTCAAACTCCCACCAAGCACCTTTAGTAAGTTTAGTCGGAGTCGATAATTCTTTCACAAAAGGAGGTCTGCCTGCCTGGAACTTCTCCCCAATTCAAAAACACATACATCAGTCTACCAGCGCCAAACACAAACATGAGAATAATTAATTGACTCGGTACACTCTCAAATGGGCTTTGTAATTCTTTGGCAGCCCCAACAGAAGCCTTGCACCTGAAACTCAAATACCTAAAAGGTACCAAACAAGTCTTAACCTCAAAAACTTAGGGCCTTCATATGAGATGAGACCGGCTTCACCTTTTCTCATATATCAATATCTCAAAAAAAGACCATCCAACCCTAAGCGCCCTAATGTTGGATGCTGATTAGTAAACTGGTCCTCAATAATGCTGATTTTTTCCAAATTATTCTAGACCCCATGTTTGAAAAAGTGATCCTGAATAATGCTATTGTTTGGGGGGGACCCTATTTTTTTATATTGGACACGTAATTAATGAGGGATTGAATTGCTTCTGAGGCCAATGATTATGATTCATTAGCTGATATAGGTTTCTCTAGGTTTCTTCAAAACTGACAGCTTTCCAAAACCACCAATTCCTAATTAAACCCTTTATAAAACATTGCTCCTAAACAAATTTTCAAGGTAGTAAGTAGACCAGGAAGGCACCTGATCTTCAATATTAATAGATTTGTTTTAGGGGTTCTCAATTGTGAAAAGTTTTTTCCACTGGAAAACACTCCTGAGGCCAATGATTATGATTCATTAGCTGATATAGGTTTCTCCAGGTTTCTTCAAAACTGACAGCTTTCCAAAACCACCAATTCCTAATTAAACCTTTATAAAACATTGCTCCTAAACAAATTTCCAAGGTAGTAGACCAGGAAGGCACCTGATCCTCAATAATAGATTTGTTTTAAGGGTTCTCAATTGTGAAAAGTTTTTTCCACTGGAAAAAAACTGCTCATGGAATCTTCCTTTACTTAGCTCCTGAGGCGAATGATTATGATTCATTAGCTGATATACAATCTATGAAAGGAACATGAATACTACAATCAATTACAAAAAGGAATCCTCATAGGAACCCAGATTTGTTTTGGTGGTAGTCTATTATAGAGGGTCCCCCATTTGTTTGAAGGAGGGGGGGGGACCGCCCTTGACTAATCAGGATCCAACATTAAGTAATGACATCATGATTTTTAGTGGTTTCATATGGTTTTAGTTGGTTTCATGTTGTGGCCAGGCCAAATACCCCTGCCAGGCATCCTTGGCCATGCTGCACAGCCGTCTCAGTTCCTCCACATCCTCCGTCACCACCCGCGCCCGCCGGTCGACGATGCACCGTCGGGGGAGCAAGAGAGCCTCCAAGTCGCAGGCCTCGAAAATCAACGTGACCTGACGGGAAATGTCTTTTCGTGTGATGTATTTTTTTTTCCATGTTGTGTTCTTTTCTTATCAAGTTAAGGATAGTTAAGGTGTGTTTATGGTGCGTCTCACATTTGACTACTTTGTGACCTCGCGGCGAGGGTCTTCCTGTTTCAACATCCATGCACAGACTCTACCATTTGATGCGAGCGCCCCTCAGCTGCTCACCCAGCCTCCAGGTCGAGTGTCAGGTCGGTGCCCAGACGATCTGCCAAGGTTTCATGGTCCTGCAGGTCGCACCATTGATCTCTGACTGGTGCGATGGAAGCAAGCTCTAAAGGATTTTGTTGGGGTGGCTGGATCCTCTTCGGTATATGGTAATGGTAAGGGATCATGTCCCTGATTCTCAGTCAAACCACAGGAATCTGAACAACGTCTCCGTTGACCCCAACGACGGTGACGTGAATGTGTAGGTCCAGGTCGCCTCAAAGAACCGGCCACTTGACCCGAAGAGAACACGGGGTACACTGCTGCTACCCTCCAGAGGTATCCAGTGACCGTAAATAGGACCCGTAACCAGGGGTACCTATAGGATAGTCTAGTTCGGGTTCTTCAACCTCTGCTGGCTTCTACGAGGCGGAGGCCGCGCGTCTCCGATTTCGGAGGTGACTGGCTGGAGGTGATGTTTGTCTACGGTTTTCCAACCGAATTGCGAAGTATTGAGGCCAAGAGCAACTTGTTTTTTTCCGGATTTCTTTGAACACCCTGTCACACCCTGTCGTCTGAACCGTCTGAATTCACATCCCAATCAATCCTGCAGCACTCCGTCTTCCAAGCTCAATTGGAAAAGCCCCTTCACAGGGCGGAGATAGCTCGCGATCTGCTGCTTGAGCTCAATGACCTACAAGGCCAAATAGATCCAAATAGCTTCACCCGTTGCTTTTGGGCCCCCCGATGCTGGGGTGAGGCGTGGTGTGCCAACTTCATGCTGGACACTTGGACAGCCTGCTGATCAAGCAGCTGCGCTGGGCATGAAAAGACAGCTCCCTACAGCCAACGCTCGCATTTCAGGTGATGAGTTTCAACATATGTGGCATATAGGCATACAGGCATATATTATACCTGCATTGGGGTGCTGTCAGGAGTCAATAGGCATTGGCATATCTCTCTACATACATTGCATAGGCATTGGGGTGCTGTCAGGAGCCAATGATAGCCAATGTATCGGCATATATCTATACATTCCATATATACATGCATATATATATATGGGTGTGCTGGACACGTCCAACTACTGCTTGCTCCAACCACGCGTCGCGCCAGCTTGAAGATTTCTAGACATGAGACCATGGGCAGACCAGGTTTGCCATGCAACGTTCGTATCTTCCCTCGGAAGCAAAAACAAAAACACTCTCATTACAAGCAAAGACACTCTCGTGTTGCCTGAAAAAAAAAAGATCCGTGTGCCTATTCCAAGATAAAGGCCACAGGAAAAGAACACACGAACCTAACTTATAGTTCTTCGAAGGTCTCTTCAAGCATTAAAGCTATACAGATTGGTTTTTTTTCGTTCGCCGCGCCTTCCAGGACTGGTCTGCTTCCAGGGAGTACAGAATCTCCCCTGCCATGCTCAACACCTTGATCCTCACGCCGCTACACTTCGCTGCCATGGCTGAGGGTTGGTTCGTTCTTCCACAGAGACTGGTGTCCACTCAAGCCGAGACTGGTGGCAACATGCGGCAACGAGGACCGCGCGCGTCGCCAAGGAGCACCCCCCGGTTGGAATGCGCGGTTGTGTGGTTAGAAGAACCATGTCGACCTTCCACAGCTGTACGCTGACCGACGGGTCCAAGAGATCTTGACAAACAGAACAGCTCCTGTGGTTGCTGTGATCTGAAGGTTTCTGGTCGCAGCTGAAGGGCCTTCGAAGGACAAACAGGTTGGCTGTTCCCAGGCCCATTGGAAGGTTCATGAGGTCGCAGGAAAATCCAACTAATATCTAATATATTATCGGGATCAATGTGTTTTCCAGTGTCACTGTTTTTGGCAAAGTGACCACGAAGAGTCAAGTTACACGGGAGCTAAAGACTGCATTTGATCGAAAGATGTAACAGTCATTTCCACAAACGCTGGAGCTTGGTCCTTTAGTCAGTGAACCAGCGACCCCCCCAGTTTTCCTTGAAAAGGAGATGAACACACAATGCGTCTCTTCCTTTCGCGCTGCCTGGTTTCTTCCACCTAAATTCCTCCTAGGCACTGAAGCATCTTTAGCCTTCGGCTCTTTCGCTTCCTCTTCAGCCTCTTGGGCTTCCTTGGCCTCTTTGGCCTCTTGCGCCTCCTTCGCCTCTTGTGCCTCTCGCGCCTCTTTCGCCTCCTTCTCCGCTTTGGCCTCCCGAAGTGCCGCTCGTGTGGCAAAAAGAGCGACCAACATTAAGTAATTAGCGATGTTCTTCCAGTCAGGAGAGGCCAAACACATTCCTTAATTCTTTATTTAAGTTCAAGAAAAAACATTAAACACATACTACTTATATATAGCTTATATCCGCCGACCCCGGCCTATAGCCAAAGCCTAGGCGGGGAGGCGCCTGGGACACCGCAGGGTGAAGCAGTTGGCCAAGCCTAGCAGAACCCTTCAAGCACTTCCAAAGGCGCAGGATGCAGCAGTTGGCCAAGCCTAGCAGAGCCCTTCCAAGCACTTCCAAAGGCCTGTCCGAGGCCTCACCAGCTGGCCGGCCTGTTGCGGCCTCTCTGTGGCCTGTCCGAAGCCTGCCTCCTCTCTTCTTTTGGGCTTCCGAAGGCGACGTTTAGGCATTTTGGACCGCCTTCAAAAGCTTTTCGGCCTCTTGCGGCCTCTCTGTGGCCTGTCCGAAGCTTCTCGGCAGCCGGCAGGCCTCTTGCGGCCTCTCTGTGGCCTGTCCGAAGCCTGCCTCCTCTCTTCTTATGGGCTTCCGAAGGCAACGTTAGGCATTTTGGACCCGCTTCAAAAGCCTCTCGGCAGCCCGCAGGCCTCTTGCCGCCTCTCTGTCGCCTTTCCGAAGCCTGCCTCCTCTCTTCTTATGGGCTTCCGAAGGCAACGTTAGGCATTTTGGTTCGGCTTCAAACGCTCCCCAGAGCCTCACCGCAGCCTTGCCCTCTTCTCGGCAGCTGGTTGAATGCCAGCATTGGTGTGAAGCCCATCCAAGTCTCGCTGTTGAATCCCAGGAAGTTGTCAAGGTTCAACCGCCAAACCCTCGAGATGAAAAGGGGTCGGCGGCACCCGGGCGGAGCCCTTACAATTTATATACGCATTACTCATATACTTATATAATATATAACCGATTCAAAGTATCGTCGTGGTGCCATGCCTTCTCCTTGGCCGCTCTTTCTTCCGCAGCCCGGGCGGCTCTAGCCTGGATAAGCAATGAAGTTGTCAGGAAGAGCTTCTTCAGGGTATAAACATGCATAAACATATTAGCTTATCATTCTTGGCTTAAACAACTCCTCTGATTCCCCTAGATAGACTCTACTCCAGGATTCCAGTAGATGTCCAATGGTTTCCCTGCGCCCTGTAACCGGACTGACTGATGGGGGGGCTTTGAGGTGCACGAAGGGCGAAAAAGATTGAATCAATCACGGCACCAAGATTCAAACCTTTGATGAATGTTGAAGGAAATATGTATGTCAAATCCCGGATGTCAATGCCTCTTGAGGAATCACCTAGAGGCTCTAAAGGTTGATTTGAAGAGGGGCTCCGTATTGGAGGCCAGGCGGTGCCATGGTCTGAGCTCCCCCGGACATGAGTGGTGTTGGAATTCGCATCCAGAAGAATGGATCTACCTGAACATCACAGTCCCAGCACCATCACCTGCGAAGAAGAAACATGGTCTCAGTCCCCAACGCTCAAAGAATCGTCCCGAAGAACCCGCAGAAAACTGCATTCAACTGCCCTTTGCTCCTAGTAGCTTCTTGCTCCTAGTAAGTAGAAATGCCCTTTGATCCTGAAGCGTGTTATATAGTTATGAAATGACACCGTACCTCTTGGGGCGCGTGGCGCTTTGCGACTGACTCGGGGGTTCCCCGGTCTGGTCTGGAATCCTCTTGGGTGGCAGGAAGCGGAAGCAGGTAGCTGGTAGCAGCTGGTAGCTTGCAGTCTCCAGTTCTGCAAATCATCCACCGGGCTGACCGTGGAAGGGGCACCAGCAACAAGCAACAAGACTCTTTGGTCGTTCTTACGATGCTCAAGAGCCAGCTCAGCTCAGCAACGAAACAACCAATGATATGATCCTTGAACTCAACCAAAGATCACACAAAAAACACCGGGTTGTCCAACATAATACATTGTATATATATATACATAGAGTTATTGTATAATATTATATATAACATAACATCCACCTCAAACATCGTGTGTATCTTTGCCTCACCAGCGGCCGCCCCTCTGGCCGTACCCCACTGTGCCACCTCCATCCTCTTCTTGGCTGCCTGAGACGGAGGAGACATCAGCGGTTTTGGGATGCAGCCATGAGACCCAAATCATCCATGGGACTGGAAGAGTTACATGCATTTACCTCATCCAGTCATGACCCACTGTCACACAGACGCGTGTCATTTTTGGATGCACTGGGAATAAGAAAAGCACCACCATGTTGTAATTTGACTGGGCCGCAAAACGAGCAAAACTCGATACGTTCGACTCCCGTCGACCATCCGAAGTGGTCTCCAGTTCCTGGGAGTGGAGGGAAGAAGTGCTTTCGGTTCTCCATCGTTGTGCTTTTTTTTTCAGGACGTGAAAGTCGAGAGAATACATGCTGCAGCAGGGCCTCCTGGCCCTGCATGAGACTAGACTAGAAGAGTAGGATCAGCTCGCCAAACAAGGTGTCCCAAATCAAGGATATATGCCACAAACAAGCTCTCAAGCCACGGAATCAATCGCAGCACTTGTGTATACATAAGATTCTGGAAATCCTCATTGTGATCAAACCAGGACAAAAGCCACCGAGCAACAGCTTCTTCTTCAGCTTCCTTGGCTGCCTTCTCCTCTTCCTGGGCGCCAGCACGCTGCAGTGTCACACTGTCAATGCTGTTCGAAAATTGATCGGACAATCGGAAGCCTAGCCTTCAGGTTGAAACCTTTACGCCACTTTACTGTGCGACCACAGTACAATTGAGCTCTGCACAAACGCACCGCTTAGGCAGGAATCAGCTAAACTTAGGCTTGAACGAGCTTTTTCTTCTTTTCTTCTTCTTCTTTCGAAGGAGAAGGCGAGCGCTGAACCTGCACAAATGCTCTGGTCCCCTCAGCATGTACCATCTGAAACCTCGGAAAAGGTGGGTCTCGTCGCCCTCCGGATTTCGCACTTGACATGCCCTGGACCCCCAAAATGTGACGTCATTTTCGAGCCAAGAATATAAACGCAAAAGAACCAAAGCAAACTGTACCAGGGGCCCCTAAGGGGTGTCCAATAATAAGCCATATATATGTAGCCATTAACTGCATGCATTGTTTTTTAGCAAGTATAACATCCAGGAGTTCGGGGTCGTCGTCAAACCAATCTGTTGTGGATGGGGCGCCCCCCCAAAGCACTCGCATCGCCGGGCCCGTTTCCATGGCTTTTCCCGGACGACATGGAAGGCCTCGTCGGCGGATCGACGTCCTGATCCCTGCATGTCCTACTTCCAAACCGCAAAAACGCAGCGGCAGTGAACTACTCTCCACCAAGAAACATCCAATTGGAAGACCTGAATTGAGATATGTACTCTTCTCACATGAAAAAAACAACAAATCTCAATGAATTCAGATGCAAGTTCTGCTGCTCCGCAGCCAGGCGTCTGATCCTGATGACGGGAGACGGGTCAGGGTCCTGGAGCACTCCACCCTGTAACGACCTTCCACCAGGGTCTCCTGGTGCCATGACCGGCCTTTTGCAGTTGATACCAACCATGACAGACGACGACGTCACCAGCGTTGCGGGCGTTTCGACCGCCACGTGGCGGGCCTTTTGCGCCTCGTAACTGGGAGACCTCATCGGCGTCGGAATCCGGATCCGAAGACCCCGGAAGGAGGGTTCTTCAGGGCCAGAAGGGGTGAAGGCCTTGATCAGCGGGCCTTTCGTGGGTGAAGGTGTTTGATTTGTGGATTTGTGGATGATTTGGAGGTGCAGAAGTCATGAATGGGCGCAATGAAGCATGAATGGTCACATTGCTGTGGTCCAAAATCACTATCACTGTACATCACGAGAAGAGGCCATACGCACGCACTGCATCAGAACTCTCAAACAATGCTATATCAGTCAAAGAATCCACAGGCCGAACCAAACAGGCATCCGTCGGCCTATGACTTCTGAAGATCATCAAAGAACCTCCCAACGCAGCGCATGCTCACAAACAAGCCTTGCCGAGTGTGAACATGTCAGGAACTCCCACGTCCAATATTTTTCTATACTATATAGGGTCCAGGTATACCTCCTCTTCTGATGGTTTTCGAGGCGAGAAGAACATTGAGTCCGTTCTTCCAAAAGAAGTACCTCTTGTGGAGCTCCTATGGACATCCGATTCGGATGATCCTGGTCCGGCTGCTCCGGAACCCGTGTTGGACGGGCTCCCAGGCGCTCGGGCGGCGACCTGGCGACGGTGTGTGGCGGGTCCAGGACCCTTCGAATCATTCTTGGCACCTTTGGCCGGAGAGGAAGACAAGCAGAAAGAAGAAGAAGGACGTATTCTGTACCTAGAACCTCGCTAGGCAATAATGTCCGCTCAACGCCATTTAGGCACAAAATTCTGCCCGTTTTCGCAAAGAACGCCTAAGCGGCAGCCTCGAGGGTCAAAAACGCCGAGGCACAATCACATGCATTCTTACATGCAGGCGGCAGAGCCAGAATTTGAATGAACAAACTTTTCAGAAAACCAACACTTGCCACCTGACGCTAATTCCAAGTCTTAAGTATTTGAAAATTGAAACTCATGTCTCTCACTCTCCCCAAAAGGCTACCATTCCGTTGTCCACCCAACTACTGATTGTAGTGAGGGGGGGAACGGGTAAGAACGGGCAAGAACGCCCAAGTAACGGGTAATAACGCCTAAGTGACGGGAAGAACACTTACGCAAACAGATATTAAAGCATATTTAAACAATGATAAAGAAAACATAAACCATATAAAAGAGAAACATCAAGTGAATCCACAACAAACAGGTGTACCAATGGAAGTTACATGAACCAGTGGTGGGTGGATCCTCATCTATTTGAGCAATGCCACCAAAAGGACAAGAACGCCGACAGAGGGGACAAGAACGCCGACAGCACGGGGCAAAAACGCCGACAGGCACGGGCCTTTGCCGCCTTTATCCGGCAGAAATGTCTGGTCAAGAAGAGGTTCTAGGTATACTTGCCTCCGTTCGAAGTATCTGAAAAGGCGGTACGACACCGTGGAGCCGAGAAGGCTAAGAATACCCCGTCTATCACCCTCTAACGGTGGACATTGAGGTAGCTAGGACTCAGGCTTGGTGGGTGATAGACAGTTGACTTTAAACGGATTAACCCGTGGAATCCCATGATCCTGGCGGTTCCATAGTGCCTATTAGATCCAGATGTTGTTTGCACTCAGCTCGGGAGTGCCAAAGCCAGGCCGGTCCAGGCAAAGGTTTTCATATGTGTTGACCCTGCTTTTCACTGCGTGCCTCTACTTGCAGGGACGAAGTGGAAGGACCAGAAAACCACCTCTATAGTCCACCTTATAATTTATATATAATGAATGCATGTCTATGATGTTGTATATATTTATCTATTTAAGTAAATACAGGTCGACATCCTTCCCAGCCGTGCTGCCCTTCTTCTACCCCCCTTACCAACGTCGCTCGCTCCAACCGACCGGCACCTTCTCCGACTTGGAGCTCTCGGACTTGGCGCGCGTCGGTTTGGGCGCTCGCAGCGACTTGCGCTCCGACTTGGCACGCTCCTGGCCGTGGTGTGTTGAGGACTGAGGACGGAGGATGGCACAAGGCATGGCACCCTCGGGTTTTCCGTGCGCGCGCGCGCGAGGATGGCACGAGGAGGGGGCAGCGGAAGAAGAAATCAAAAGCAAAGAAACACACGATGAAAACCTGACCTCTTTCATGGTGTGTTTTTGTGCCGGAAATTGTATGAAAAGACTTGTAAGGTGGGGGGTGACGGCCGGGGCTCCCGGGCCGGGACGGCTGCTTCGCACATGTGGGTGATGTGATGGACCCGTTTCGCGATTCTCGGTTCGGTTCACAGCCGTTTCGTGGCCTTCTCCTTCTTCTCCCTGCGACGCCCCTGAAGGTGTCGAACGCGGATGCAGTGCTTGGTCGAAGGTGCCGTGCCGGACAGGGGGAACAGTGAATCATCGTCCAATGCACCTGGTGCTCATAAGTACCTGTTTTTATAGGTTCACATTCCATGTTATAGGGTATTTGAAGGGGATTGAATAGAACTACTAGAGACTAGCCAGCACCACACCATGCAAAAGGTATCAAAAGGTGGCTTGCTCCCATACTGTGTGTTGACTATCCAACAAACCATTAGAACTGGCTGGTTAAGGACGTGAAGCATAGGTTATTTCGAGCAAAAATACTATAAACCCTACCGCTGGTTGGTATCTGAGTCAACCATTCCTGCGACCCCATCGCAGTACTTCGCACATCTTCGAACTGCTCCCGTTCGCCCGGAGATCTCGAACTGGAATCTCGACCAATAAAACCTGCCCTTGCATGGAAAATGGAGTTTCCTACATAAAGGATATTAAAGGATCATAAAGGGCCTTATAAAGGGCCTTTGGGGCCATTCAGGTTTTAGGTTTTTTGGAATCAGTCCCATGATCCCATGGATGGTCTGGGTCAGGTGATCCCATCTTTGGAAACAAGCTTTTCTCCGCACGTCGCGTCGCTGGACGGAACCGTCCCCCCGTCCCGCTCTCCGCGGGAAGAGCGCGCCACGAAGACCTCGGTGGGGAGTGTTCGGAGAGCCCCCCCTCCAGCCGTTCGAGCTGTTTAGATCGAGCTCTCAAGGCGGGAAGATGGATCCTCAGCTGGTTCACTAGAAGCTGAACGTGCCAAGGTCGTGGTGCTTGTGTTTTTGCACGAGAAGCTGATCATCCAAACAGTCGTTCACAAAAAAGAAGCCAAAGGAACATGCCATTGTTCTGCGCGTCTTTCCCCTGGTTGGGGTTTAAGAAAGGATGCTTTCATATGCTTTCCATACAGCTTCTTTTCCACATGAAACCAGGTGAGGACTCTACACATGGCACGCCTTAGGTGCCGATCCTGGCGGCGTACTTTCGCGACTGTCGGTGCAAAGCTTTGTCCGTTCTCTGCACGGGAAAATCCACCCAGGACCAGCGCAGCTGGTAGGGGCAGGGCTGATGATACTGCCGGACAGCTTGACATGGCGATGGATCAATCACTTCTGACCTACCTGCTTCCCTGGTGCTCTGATGGATTCCTGGGTGAATCCCCCCCTGGTTCGGCCATTTGGGGCCTCGCGGCCTCTCTGTTCCAGCGGGTTTGTCTAGGAGTCGCAACTACATGTGAGCATCTGTGAACCAACAGCTCGCACCTTGGAGCATGTACTTTGTTGGAAGCAAATGTACTTTGTATTTAATAGGGGAGACTCCCAGGGAGACGCTCAACCAAATTTTGTCTATTTACCTTCTTGCAGGTAGTCTTTTGGAAACCTCCCTATTTCAAACACACACCCAAATCGCTGTGAATCAAAACTGGGAGAATTCTCGTTGACCACTGAACATAAACAGACTAGACTACTAGGCAGGTCAATCCACCACCAAGCATCCTTTGGGCCGATTGTATTGGGTTCATCGCTAGTCCTTCGCTGCCCATCCTAGGATCAGCTTCACCCCACCCAAAACATCGCCCGCAACCTTCGCAGAGGGTGTGTGAACCGCTAAGACCTTTCCAGGGCGCTGTGCGCATGTCTCTAAAGTACCTATACATAAGAACATGACACGACCCGCACACACCCTTCCACACGGTGGGGTACTGCAGCCAATGTAATGCGCTACAGCACGTACTTATAGACTGCAAAAATAGGTTTACTTCTGTCTGATAGTCTTTTGTGCATTTTCCCGTTTGCTCTGAGTGAATGCCTCAACCAAACTCACCACCCCTCCATCGCCCCCCTCACTGCGCAAGAGATTTGCATCGGCCGAGGTGGTTCGGCTTACCCACCGCCATTCGGCGGTGGTGGCTCTATCAGCTGCGCGGTGCTAACTTCAGTGGATTGACATGCAATCATGACATGTGTATACACTCCCGAAAAGACCAGTGCGGAGGTAGGTCCACCTGGCGACCTGTGCCTCGATTCAGACATCGCCCTTCAGGAAGAACATTGACAAATCCAAACCATCGCTCTGTTTCTTTTGGAACATGTTGCCAGGCTGGAAAAAAAACCGGCTGCTAAAGGGCGGCAAGGCTCATCAGGAGAACATGATGGAGGGAGGGCATCAGGACTGAAACACAAGCACCCTTGTTGATTCTTTTGTGGGGATGCATAACCTGGATGTTCTTCTCCAAGACATCCCAGGGTCTAGTTCTAAAACAAATTGATCAACGATGAGGCACGCTGAAAACAAAACAAGCATGACTGGGAAATCCACTGGTCAATATATAGATCAACCATGCGATTCTTGTGGCTGTCTTGGGAGTACAACCATGGGTACCATATGTCAGTGTTGCTCCCTACTTTCGTCTCTGTACAGGCCCCCCCGCACTACCCACCGTCAAACATGGTTTGTTACGCGCGCAGTGTGTTCACCTCTGTACATGGATCATCTGTACGAACAGCCTTCGGAGTCCCATCGGCTGAACGACCGTGGGCAGCGTGGTCAAAGGTGGGCAGTCGTCGTTCGGCGACCTAAAGAGGGAACATCCAGAACCAAAACCCTGCCATACAGCGCATCAACAGACACTCTCTCGCTAGTATATAGAAAGTTATACAGAAAACTCGATTCCGAAGGCTGAATGAAGGGAACACTGGAGCGGCCCGGCTCACGATATCTCACGATCACAGTGAGCACGGAAGGAACACGGCGACTTGCTCATCTTGAAGGAACACGATCGTCGCGGCACATCCTGATTTCGTTGCCAAGTCGATTGCTCCCGATTAATTCATGCTGAGTCGATGTCAATACTTATATACATATATATATAGGTATATATAGTCTAGAGTCTAGGGATGCCCCATCAACTACCTGAGCGGTAGTCTAGTGACTGATGATTTTTTTCGCGAACCGGAGGGCCTATATATGTTGTTTGTGAGAGAGAGAGAGAGAGACATGATGAACAGCAAATCATTCTGCTAGCACATGTTTGTTGTGGTTTTGCGTCTGCCCCTGCAATCATAGCACCAGGGCCTCACTTTGATCAGGTCTGACATCATATGTTGGATTTTAATGTAAGACCAAACAATCAAGATCAACTTGCTCAATCAATCAATGTGTGAGGATCCCGGCTCCGTCACAAATCTTCAAGTCTTCAACAAACATAACAAGACAACAACTACTCCTAAAGGCGCTAGATCAGTTCGTGAATGGTAGTTTGGTGGCGACCCTCTCAACGGGCGACCTGTGCTGAAACCCTCAAACACCTGCGAAGCATTCCACACGGAATCCATCCTGGATCGCTTTCCAGTGTGAGGCGTAGGGTTGCGTAGGGTCGGCGGGAGCAAGCATTTAAGCATCTCATCTATTATGCTTAGTTGAGAAAACCCTGACAATTCGCACCATTTCCAAATCTAAAACATAGGCTTCAGGTACCCGCATCAAACTGTCTCAAACTTACAGTAAACACCGTACACATGTCACAAAAGGCACATGTTGAACAACATGGAATTTCAAGCCCTGAACATCAACACAAAAAGTCGAAGAAGTATCCTTTCCTAGGGCTCCAACCATATCCTGAGAAGGTGGTTAGACCCCCAAAACCCACCCCAACCACCTTCTCAGGAGGTAGTTGGAGCCCTAGGGCTTAAACACAGATATCACAGTCGTAAGTACAGTAGTTCCCTGAACTCCACGGTTATTCCAGAGAATCTGTTCTGAACTCCACATCTGTTCTGCTCCAAGCTCCACCAGCTGTGATTCCATGTGGTCACCTCAAATCACCCGCAGGCCACCTACATCCCCCTCCAAGCGTCCACTTGGCCCACTCCCAGCTCCTGAGTACGTGGACGGAGTGGTACGAGTCGATAGGAAACCTCTCCAACGATAAGGAATGAGTCATCCAGTCATACATTGGATGAATCAAACAATGGGCGAGCATATCAGATCACCCTGCATTCTGGCAACATCCATCTGGGCTCAGCCTGGTTTCAGTTCTTCTTGGTGAGCATACTGTAGATGATCTTGAGATTTCTTGCGAGGCACTTACCTTTTCCGAAGTGTTCTCCAGGGTCTAGAGTCCAGGGTTGCACTTTGTGGGATATGTTCAAGCATACAAAGCTCTATGAACAAGCCACATAACTCTGCCTATTGGAAAGTCCAGGCTTCAATCACAACCCCAGGAATCTCTAACCAAATGGGCACTATATACAAATATATAGGATATTATGGGACAAACCTTATCATTTGTTGAAGATGTAATGTGTATTTAATAGTTGTATATATATATATAATATGTAAATCATCGTGTTTCTGGCAATTCTGAACCCAATTGGTGCACTTGTCATCTCACCGACCTCCGCCGTGACCTTTCAGATCTTCCAGGACCTGACCCGGTGACCATGACCGACTGAACGTATAATGGGCCGATGCTGGCTGCCTGGCCGAAGCAACTTGGGGATCAAGCTTCGGTCACTGGGCATGGCCAAGCGCTCCATGGGACTGGAATATCTGCCGAGAAACGGCCAGGGGTGGTGCCAGGGGGGTCAATGGGGCGGCATATATTCCATCCATGGAGTGTCTGGGATTTGTTTCAGGTCATTCGTTTCGGTGGAAGCCAACTGAGTGAACGCTCCTCCCTTTCGACCCATGGATCATCTGCGAAACAAAGGCTTGCGGTCTCCTGAGTAGAAAGCTACCCTGCCCCAAAACAGCTTTCTCCATGTGGGTGTGTATTGAGATATAGAGAGACCTCTCAAAGACCCAAACCATGAAAAGTAGACCCAACACCGGGCCCATCATGTCTCCCTTTCAGACTCCGGGGACGGGGACGGTGCTTTCACCCCCACCCCTGGCTCTACCCCACGAGTCCAACGAGTCTCCAATCCACCACCGGCCGCAGGTAGTCGTTGCGCCCATAGGCCGCAGCACCATGCACCCACTC